AATGCTTAGTCCTTGTTGCAATTGGTATGTCAGATGCTAGTGAGAACCCAAAACGATATGGTGCTTCCAGTAGCAAAGCAGGAGGGAGATGGAAGGGTGGATGAGTGGGAAAATACCATTATAAATAGGTAACATGAATAGAATGTTTGTTGGTGTTATTTTGCATAATTTTTAAAATTTGGTGTTTTTCAAATTATAAAAATAATAGATACCTGTTATTGCAAATGAAACAATGCAATGCAAAAATGTATTAAAGGCAAAGCGTCCCCCCTCCATTCTCCTTGCCTGAGGTACTCAATAGTGTGTACACCTTTGTAACATATGCATACACATACACAGATTCTGTATGTCTATTTACACACACATTTTCCTCCCCAAAATTAATGTTGAATGGGGTCTCTGGGATTGAGGGCTAGTGTCTTTTTTTTCCTCCACTTGTACTTACTCCTTTCTCCCTTCCATTTTTTTCACGTTCTCTCACACATGAAGGGGAAGAAGACATTGAGTTCTTTACAAAAATGGCATCATTTCTTACACTTCTGCATTTTTTCTTCCTCATTCAATGTCTTGTACAGAGCCTTTTTTTTTTTTAAAGTAAACTCCCAACATGGGGCTTGAACTCATAACCCCAAGATCAAGAGTGGCATGGTCTACCAACTGAGCCAGCCAGGTGCCCCTTGTATAGAGCCTTCTACGTCAACTGATATAGATGTAATTAATTGATTTCACTTCATCTTCCTTGCCATTTTTTAAAAAATAGGTTTTTTCTAATTTGTAAGTTTTGTGTGAAAGACCTTAACTGTCATCACAATACAAATTTTTTTAGCTATTTCTGTCCATTAACTTTATTAATGGTATCTTTGACCCTACGTATAAGATTTTTATTTTAAAAGATTTTATCAGAGAGAGAGAGCACAAATAGGGGGAGCCTGATGTGGGACTCGATCCCAGGATCCTGGGATCATGACCTGGGCCGAAGTCCGACGTTTAACAGGCTGAGCCACCCAAGGGTCCCCATATAAGACTTTTATGGGGTCGAGTTGTTTATCTTTCCTTTAAGAGCATCTTGATTGAGTCATTCATGCTTCAAATTTTTATGTAAATGTTTTTCTTTTATAGTGCTTTCATTTTCTGTCTTGGTCTAGGTATCTCCTCCACCCCTTGACTGTAGATCTAATCTCCCAAATGTTCTAAAATTTTTAATGTTTTGACGATCACATTTAAATCCTTAATGTATCTGGAATTAAGTTTTGTATATGCTATGAAATAGGGGTCCAAATATTTCAGAACACTTGTACTTTTATTTTTTAAGTAATCTCTATGCTTAACGTGGGGCTCGAATTTACAATCCCAAAATCAAGAGTCGCATGCTCTACCAACTGAACCAGCCAGGTACCCCAACACTTGTAATTTTTTTAATTTTAGGATTAGAGATTACTTATTTTGTAAAAATCCAAATACATAACCCAAATCAGCAACTCTGAGACATATGCACCAGGCAGTTCTAAGTGAACTCAAGGATGAAACTGTGGAATTAGTAGCCCTGCTACAATGAATGATATATGTGTGTATGATGTGAATGATGGGAGTACTGAACAAAGGAGGCAGTGTGACAGCTGCTAATCAGTGGGGCTCCATAAACCAGCAAAACTCATGGAAATATTATGTTCACAGAACATAACCAAAACCAAACTATAGGGAGTAAGGTAGCATGTTCTGTAAATAATCATTCCTGATTAATCTATTAGAACTCATCATAGCAGTTGTATTACAAGTTTGCTAGGGTTGCTATAACAAAGTACCACAGACTGGGTGGCGCAAACAACAGAAATTTATTTTCTCACAATTCTAGAGGCTAGAAGTCTGAAATCAAGGTGTCAACAGAGTTGGTTTCTTCGGAGGCTTTCCCACTGGCTTGTAGATAGCTGTTGTCTCCCTATATCTTCACTTGGTCTTCCCTCTTGTGTGTGTCTGTGTCCTAATTTCTTCTTTATAAGGACACCAATCATTGGATTAGGGCCAACCCACATGACCTTATTTTAACTTAATTACGTCTTTAAAGACTATCTTCAAATACAGTCACATTCTGAAGTACTGGGGGTTAGGACTTCAACATATGAAAGCAGGGGCGGGGAGTGCAGTGGAGACACAATTCAGCTCGTAACAGGATTAATAATGCAGTGAATATGATTTTATTTTGAAAAAGCTTTGACAAGATTTTTACATTGAAGACTATTTAAAGAAGTAACTAAGGAATTATTACCAATTTGTTAATGAACAAATGAACAAATCGATATATGGTAAAGAAACTCAGATGTAAGAAACAATGAGTAGAACTACAAAGACACTTTTCTAGAAGAATATAAGCATTGGTGTTAAGACTAATCTTACATTCTTAAAAAAGGTAGAAGGGAGTACAGCATAAAATATCCATACTGATAGGTATATCTGATTTCTTCTAGGTAATGAAAAAGCATAGAGTTAAACTTAAAAGATATCAGGTTGTATATAAAAGTATTTTTTAAGTGAATTTCATGTGGATAAATAAAAGGTATTATATTTATAGGTCAGTGATTCTAAATGGGGGTGGAGGATGGCAGGAAAAGAATGCCTTCCAGGGATGAACATATCAAAACTGAGGGGTGAAGATGGTGCTTTTTCAAATTATACTTTCTGAAACATTGATTTTCTGTCCCCCCTCTACTCTACCCTGAGAATCACTGCTGTAGTGCCCCACTGATTTGAATAGAGTGCATTAAAAATGTCCACATTTGATAAATGATTCAAACTAATATGATTATGGTCCCAAAGCTACCTAATATTTCCTAAGAAAGGGACCCTAGTGACATCTCAACCATGTCCAAAAGACCTTAACCCAATATGCTGCTGTGACCAGAGAGACTATATGTTAGGTGACCTGAATATTAATTAACACTGGACTAGTATCATAAAATCATCTACATCTGCCCTTTGAAAAAGCATCACAGAACTCAGAAGCCTCCCCGCCACAACCAAGAACCAGTGATTATAACCCCCTCATTTTCATATATAGGAAACTAAGATCCAGAGAAGTTAAAATAACTTGTGTAAAGACTCAGATAGTTATTGGTGGATCTAAGCACCAGTCTAATACTCTTAACTACTTTAGAAACCATTAATTCCTATTTCTAGTATTCAGAGTTTTTATCCAATATGCAGTTCTGGTCACTACAACTTTTAAAAAAAATGTAATAAAGCTAAAAAAGTATCTAAAGAGAAACAAATGAGATAATCAAAAGGATTAATGTTACATTTATTTATTCATGTATATCCCAACCTTGTTCCAAAAAGGCTTGCAAAGATGCAGATAATAAAAAGAAAATAAAGGTAGAAAAGGAAGATGAAACCAAGAATGTGGCTAGCATACAAAATATACAACATGAAGTCCTAAACACTTGCTGGAAGTGGACTGCAAATTAGGCTCTAAGTGGCCTAGCATTGATATGAAGAGAAAAATACAGTCTGTTGAATATTTAGTGTCTTTAAGGTAAAACCAAACAGCGATTCAGGAAAAGCACAGTTGGGTCCAGAGGAAATTTCTCCCATGCATCCTTATATAGAAGATTATGAATTATAATGAACACCCTTCACAGTATATCCATAGCAATTAAATTTCATAGGGATTTTCCTACAGATTGCCAAAGTACAATCCAGAAAAAGCAATTTTGCAGAGGCCAATAAAATGCCAGCTATGTACAGGGAAAATCTGGCTTAATCCAGGGAACAGAATTAATAAACACAAGTATACAGGGTGTTCCAGACTCTCTTTGGTCTGCAAAAAGAGATCAGAAATAACTGAAGAATAATAAAAATGAAGATTTTGAAGGGCCCCTGGCTGGCTCAGTCAGAAGAGCATGTGACTCTTGATCTCGGGGTTGTGAGTTTGAGCCCCACATTGGGTGTAGAGATTACTTAAATACATAGTATTTTAAAAAATGAAGGTTTTGAAAAGTTAAAGAAAAATGAAAAGTCAGTAAAGGCCAGAAATATATACAAATTTAAGGTCCAGATGATTTTCCTTACTAAAGGAAAAGGTTCTTGAAATACATCTAATCTTAAATCTTAAGGCTGATGTCAACGCCTCTTAATCCCTTGGTTTGCCCATCAGAAACTGAATCCTAGGCTATCTAGGGAAATGATCAGTTTAAGAATCTTGTCTTTTGAAGAGATTTTGTTTTGGAAAAAAATTCGCTATCCCAATCAGCCCTAGAAAAAGCATTTAACCCACACTTGTTTCACTTTTCCTCACATTAGGCTATTAGATTCACTTTTGAAATTTTTAAAAATTAGATTTATTACAGACTGGCTTTGAGCCCCCAGATGGTATGTTTTAGCTGCATATTTAGGGGTTAAAATGCCAGCTTATGAGACCTTTGAAAAACATTCATACTGCTTCTAACAAGCCTATTAAAAACACATAAATAGCACCTTGAGACCCCATGAAGTGTCATTATTGCTCAAGAAAGGAAATATGGCAGGGGCACCTGGGTGGCTCAGTCAGTTAAGCATCCAACTCCTTATTTCGGCTCAGATCATGATCTCAGGGTTGTGAGATTGAGACCCACATCAGGCTCTGCACTGGGCATGGAGCCTGATTAAGGTTCTGTCTCCTTCTGCCCCTCCCCCCTCTAATAAAAAAAAAATAAAGGAAATATAGCAGAGAGACAAGGAATGGGAAAAGTAGAATAAGCCTCTGGCTGAAAGCTTCAGGGTATGAGCATTGGAGAAATGAAGCAAAGGAAAAGGTCAACACTCTGATCTGAGATGTTGAATTGAGAGGTGGGTTGTACTGGGGGCGGGGAGGGTTCGGGCCAAGATCTGAACTCTGGCCCAACAAGTAGAACAGAATGGTAAGAGGCTACATATTAAAAACAAACTGGATCATCAAAGTGGTCATACTGAGTTGGCAGTGGAGGAAATCCTCAGGTTCCCAGATGGGCCCAAATCTACAGTAGAGGGGCTCAAGCAAGGCTGGGATGGACCAGGTAGGACTCCAGGTTACAGTCAAAATCCTTGAAAAGCGTGGACTCCGATGGACTGGGCTGGGTAGCTCGTGTCTCCATGACAAAGTTCACTGGCTGCTTCCGTAGGAGCTCTGGGTCAAAGGCCACACCCCGAAAGAAAGGGTGGACCTGGAAGTGATGCAAGTAACGCAGACGATGGAGGGGATTCTGGCATAAGAGCTGAAGGCAAATAGATCATGAAGGATGAGGGACTGGCATAGGAAGGGGGCTAAACAGAAAAGCTGGAAAAGGAGAAGTTAATGAAGCTATGGAGGGCAGGAAGAATCCTAAAGAGGATTTGAAAGAGAAACAGGCTAATTTGGGGGCAAAGGTGGGAATAAAGGTGCTGTATTGGTAAGAGTAGCACTGGCCCTCTCTCTCAGAAGTGATCTGTTATGGATGGGGAGGGTATTTGAAGGATGAGGAACTCAGAACTGAAACTTAAAATGCTGGTTAGAGGGCAAGTGGTGAGGTGGTACTTGATCAAGTTGGAGCACACCCCCACCCCAGCCAGATTATTAGAGAAATGGGGAAATATCACTTCAGTGATAAGGAAAGGAGAGAATGAATGGTTTGGTAGTCAAGAAGGAAAATAGTGTTCACCCTTACCTCATGGAGCAGGAGTGAGAGCCCCTGGTTAAGAGAAGCTGGGATCTCAAAATCATAGTGGGTCACACTTGCCAACATGGCCACATGATCTCTCTCTGCAGCCACTGGGAACTGAGTTGGGGGGGGCAGTGTCATTGCTTGGTAGGAATGAGGCAAGATTTCCTAAGGTCTTCTTCCCACTACAGGGCAAAGCTCCTCTCTCTGCCCAACATCGCTACCATTCTCTCACCTTCCCAGTTGCCAGAGAGAAAAGCAAGACACCCAGGGACCACCAATCAGCAGCATGGTTGTAAGGCCCTCCACTCAGGACCTCTGGGGCTAGATTTGAAAGACAGTTGTCATTGACATCAATTGGCTAGATTCCTGCCAATGTTTACCCACCAGCTTTAGCACCTCTCTCACCCATGTATTGAAGAGTGCCACAGATAGTATAGGCTCGGGTTCCCTGGGGCAGGTGGCGGGACAGACCAAAGTCTGTCAGTTTCAGATGGCCTGTGAAAGATAAGGCAACAGCACCACTCTGTTCCTCCCCTCATCAGCCATGACTTATTCCCAAACTGAGGGTCCTCTCATTCTGGGGCTAGGAAAAGAAAAGGACTTACCTCGTTCATCCAGAAGGATATTCTCCATCTGAAAAATCACAGGTGATTAAGTTATTAGTCATCCCCTTCCTTTCAACCTCCTTTCATCATGTATACCTCCCAGCTGAGGAAGATGCCCTATTCAGCATTCAGGCCTATACTTTGATGGCCCTTGCCCAAATCCTTGGCACTCCTGAGGGCCCCAAGGTCAGCTGTTCTCAGCTCCCCGCTGCCTTCTTAGACCTGTTGGAACTTCTTACTGAGGCCCCACTTCAGACAAAGAAAAAAGCACTTAACTCTACCTTCACATCTCGATGGATGATGCCCAAATCATGGAGATAGCCTGTGGATGACAAGTATGGGGTGTGCTAAAGCTCTCCTGTCTTTCCAGATTCCCTGGTAGTTCCCATCCCATTCCTATCCCTGTTCTTTGACCTCCAGAGTTAATATCAAATCTCTTCTCTCTGCCCCTCCCTCTTAATTCTTCCCTCATTTCCATTACCATTCTTGTTTCACTTACACAGCACCAGAACCAGTTCAGCAGCAAAGAGGCGGATGGAGGCCTCAGCAAAGCAGCCAACAGAGGACCACAGGGAGTGAAGATCTGTACTGCAGTAGCTGCACACTGCAAAGTACCAGAAGTCTAGGCAATATTGGGGTTACTGTGCCTGGGCTCAAGGCATTTTAGGCCTCTTGCCCAAACTGATGCCACCTGTTGTTCCCTCTCCTTTTGGGAGAGAAAAGTGCTCTCCGAAGGGAAAGAGCAAAGGGAAAACAAGCCAAAGGGATGGGTAATCTCAGGTGGGGAGTACAATAGAAGGATTCTTGGAAATGAGAGGCCAGTCACTCACTAATGAAGAGGTGCCGTTTTCCCTGCCAGCTGTCCCCCAAACCGTGTACAAAAGGATGGTTGATCTGTCGCTAGGAATGAAGAAAACAGGAAGTTAGGAAAGAGGTCATTGAGGATCAAGGGAGCCAAGAAGTCAGGATTTACCTAGTTATGCAGAAAAGGAGCTGCTGCCCCACCTCTCAGTTCAGGTGAACTAAGTAGGGACTGCCTGCCTGGTAATCTCAAAACCAGCATGATACTGAGGAACACACCAGGATATGCTGGAGAGATTTCCACGGAAGAACCTAGAATTAACTGCTGATAACTACTTTTCCCAGGATCTACTTTGGTTGAAGCAGAGGGAGGGGGCATAACCAGGAAGAGCAGGACAGGAAAGGTACTTTCTCCACCTGTGGTTTAGTTCTTCCTAGGATCCATTCCTGGGCTCTGTGCATACCTGGATGCTAACCTCCTCTTTGCACTGCCTCAGGATGTCCCTCTGTAGGACCTTTACTTTGGGCACCACCTATAAAAGGAGAGGAGTGATGACTCCTACAGGTTGTTTATGCCTGCCAAACCTTTCTAGAACCAAGATTGGAGGCAGGGACTAGAGAATGATGTGGAAGAGTACCTAGGTCCCTACCTTCACTGCAAATACTGCTTTCTGGCCACAGTCTATCACCTTGAGGACCGTTCCGAAGGAGCCTTTAGCCACAAGGCCTAAAATCTGTACAGAGAAATGGAGAAATAGCATAATTGAAACTCTGGCCATTCCTAGATGTCTCCCCAAGACTGAGACCCCTTCCAGGGACTGACCTACCTTCAGCTGGTGATGCCCCTTAAGGGGCCTAATGGGAAACTCCGGCAGAAAAAGGTTGACGAACTGAGGCACTGGCCACTCAGACAGAGGTTTCTCTATTAGCAACGGGGCCGGCTCCAGGGGCTCCTGGTGTAGGCACTGATGCGCCCGTAGTCCCCACAGCTCTTCCACACCTGACCTGGTAGTCCCCACACCTGACCAGAGGCTCTTCCAGCCTCGGACCCAGGGACCCCGGATGTTGCCACCCTGCTGAGAACCGAGGGAGCCACTCTAAACCTCTGCCCTTGAGGCGTTACAACTTCTGCCCATCTCAGAAGGCATACCCTCAAATCGCAACCTTAGGGATACATTTTTGAGCACAAGGCAAAATTGCCATTACCCTTGCTTTGGGCCAAGGCCTAGATTTCCTGGATATGATTCAAATCCTCTAGGAAAGCAGTATTTGGACATTTTCCCTTTGAGGCATCAGAGATTCAGCCTGTGCCTCTTGGTATGGGGTTGGGATATTTTCACAGCATAGCCTCCTGTTCCACCTCCACAGTGGGCATCGCTAACATTCTCCTCACCAGTCAGTTCCCAGGCCTTAAGACCATGCCCCCTTAACCTCCCCTAAACAGGCTGCCAGAGCCCCACAGCCTACCTTATGAGAAGCAGCCACCGGGGCATGTTGCCCCTGCCGACAGCTCACTGTTCCCATCCAAAGCCTCTGCCTCCTCTCCTCCTGCTAAATCTGCTGTCCCAGTTACATAAGCAACTCCTGCCCCTGATGCTACATTACACATGAGCCCCGCCTCTTCTTGCCATTCATGACTAGAGATGCAAGTTGATGCAGCCAAACCCCACTCTTATCCCCAAATCCTATCCCCCCCACCCCAGTTATGAATAGGCTCATAGCCAGCACTAAAATGTGCAGAGACCTATTAGGAGGCCAGTGTCACACCAGTGCTGGGAAGTATCTGTGATATAGTTTCACAGAGGAGGGAAGAGGCATTAGAGTGGTAGCTAGAGGATATGTCTTGGGTTGATAGGGAGGGAGGGACACAGGTTGAAACCCATGCGCTTAACACACCAAAAAAAAAAAAAAAAAAAAATCAAATTTAAAATATATATATTTTTCTCTTTAAGTCGTTTTCTTACCATTCTTCAGGGCATACCCCAAGGGGACCCATGGCCAGCCCTGGCATCTATTGCTATCTTTCCAAGTGAACTTGGCACAGATTGAGAAGGGGTGATTCCCCCCCAGAACCCTAATATACCTCTCATACAAGGCAGTGGAATGAGGAACAGGAGAGTGGCTCCTCCCCTCAACTTTCTAGCACAGAGGGAGAACAGTTACACTTAGAAATATATATGTATATATTTATATATAGGTCTATAAAAATTTATCACACTTGATCAGAACTGTCCCTCCCACCCTTTCAGTTAGCCCCAACGGAACCAGATCCTGATCCTGGGCCCATTCCCTGGGTCTTGCTCTCTTGATGCCTCTCTGGCCCTTGGCCTGCTGATCAGAGGTAGAACTCAGCATTATTATCCACTGTATTCTGCAGGGAACAGGCCAGCTGCTAAAAGAGCAGTACCTCTCTCCACAGTACCCTGTGGGCTCCTGACCCCCCACAAATCCTGATAGGTAAAGGGAAATGCCTCCCACCCCACAAGTCCCATGGGCCTGAGCCAGAGTCAGATCCTGTACTGCAGCCACTCTTGGATGCTGGATCACTTGCGCCTGCCAAAGATGGACTTCTTGCCAGGGTTCTTGTTGCCCACACTTAAACCGATGAGGAGCCGGGCTTTCTCCTCCTCTTCCTGCTGTGGCATGTTGAGGTCTGATTTAGTTTCTAGCTTTCCCCGGACCTCAGACCCTGTTGCAGGTTTCAGCCTTAACTTCTCTTTGATTACCTGATAGGTTAGAGAGGAGTAAAAAGGAAGGTAAATATTAGTGGTACAGGCAGAATAAATCAATGTGAACCAAGTCAATAAAGATTTATTAAGCTTACATGAAGGCACAATGGGGCAATTCAAATTATAAAACGATCTCTGCTTTCAAGAAGCTTACAGTCTAATTACAACCCATTCTGAACCTGAAGTTGTGTCAGCCCTCGGTTTCCTAAAAATCAACTGTTAACATATATGAAATACTCAGTAAACATCTAATTTAATCATCTGACCAAAATCATGGAGAGGGTAGGGACAGAAGTTGTTCACTTCATTCAGTTGCCCATCCCCAAGGCTGCTTGTCCTACATATGTCCTACAATGAAATGTGCCTGAGCACAGGATCTGTTTGCCAGCCCCTGCTAACCAAACAGCCATGAACTCTGCCGGGATACCTGCGCAACCAGGGCTTTGCGGCTGTCCCTCTTGACAGCCATGGCAAAGTCTAGCCATGTCCATGTATTGTTATGGTACTCCAGACAGGGCAGCACCAGGTTAAGGTCACCCCAGTCCACACTGTTCTTCTCACCCTGCAAGGGGGTGGGGGGAGAGAAAAGAATCAAAAGATGTATCAGCTGCCATTTTTAGTTCAAGCAATACCTGAGTCCAAGTCTAGTGCTTTCCTACAGCAGCAGTTTACAGATACTGATTTCGCTTTTACCTCATCCTGTAATGGTACTGATTCCTGAAAGCAGCAGAGGGAACAGATTAGCCCCCACATACCAGTTTTACAAACTAGACTGTTGTGTCTAACTTTAATCTCTGGTCTTATCTGGTTCCCTTCCCACGCTGTACTGGAAAGTACTAGGGAGGAGCAGACCTTGTAGCTGACACACAGAGGAACCTGTGGAATCTTTATGTAGATGAAGGAGTTGTTCATGGCAGCTCGCTCTTTCATCTTGTCAATATCATCCACAGGGTGCTAGGAAAGGCAGGAAAGGAGTGTGAGTCCCTGAAACCATCAGAAAAAACTTAGGACCCCAAACATCTCCATCTCCTTTCATCCCTGGAAAAGAATGAAGAAATCCCCTGCTGGGCCAAACAGAGAACCCCAGGACTCTCCCATCTCTCTATCATCAGGGGCATGTGTGGTACCTCAGGTACTTTCCGAAATGACCTCCTCACGCCAGAACTCCGATTTAAGCCTTGTGCCACACCCTTTCCAGGGCCCAGTGGTGCTGCATCATCTGTTGCAATCAGCTGCCGAGGCTTCACCACTGGTATTCCTATGAAAAAGCAAGAATACCAGCTGCTATCCTCTTTCTGAAGCTTTAGCTGTCTCTGGGGCTGCTACCCCAGTCTTCTGGAGCTCCACCATAAAAGTTCTCACCAGTAGTCACCAGTTTGGACTTATCTTCTTCATCTCCAACCTCATCATCTTCCACACTTCGGCCAGGAAAGAAAAAACCCATTATTCTATGGAAGAACTGGTGTGTCAGCTGGATGGTGAGAGGCACCACATTTACCTAAAGAGGAAAAAGGCTGAAGAAGCAATTAAGCTCAGACATCATCCCTCAGTTTACCTACCCCTAATGTAGCATAACACAGATAGCTTTTGAGTGCCCTTTGTTTCTGGATCCCCAAAGGACTGTATACTAACCTCAAAGTGTTCCTTAACAGAAATACCCCCAACAGGGGGCCGGACTTTGCTGAAGAGGCGGAGGGCCAGCTGTCGCCCAGACTGGCAGGAGCTCTGGGGCCGCAGGACTACCTATAGGATAAAGAGTGATAAATCAACCTTCAAATCCATTCAGACTAAGAGGAAAAGTAATGGTCTTGCTAAGCTGAGCAAGCTTTCAACCTCTCAGATCATCACACTGCTTCCCACACTGGATTTATGTGGAAGGGCCCTTACAAATGCCCTGTGTTAGGGGGTGGCTGGGTGGCTTAGTTAAGCATCCGACTCTTGATTTCCGCTCAGGTCATGATCTCAGGGTCATGAGATCTAGCCCTGTGTCGAGCTCCGTGCTAATCATAGAGTCTGGTTGGGATTCTCTCTTTTCCTCTCCCTCTGCCCCTCCTCTCTCTGAAATAAGTGAAATCTTACAAATGCCCCATGTTAGGAAGCATGAGAATGGGGCAGGAATGGGGAAATAAGACTTGCCTTATAGACCGCATTGGGGAGGAGGTTGTTCATAGTGAACCAGCCCAACTCCAGAAGATGTTCTGCTGTGTCATCAGACTTATTCACCTATAAAAAGATTTCCCACCCCCCGACCCCATATACTATAATAAGCCTTTCTCAGGAGCTTGCTAGAGAATTGCTACATATCCTGTTTTCAGGTTCTCCATATGTTTAATCCCAACCTTTGGTATCCCTTTCAATTTCATAGTCACTTCAACCTTTAATCCAGTGTTTCTCATGGGAACTACTGGCGAGGACACTAAGTGCCAGTAGCACCTCCCAGTCACTGTGATATTCAGAAATGGTCTCACATATTTCCAAACTCCCAGAGAGAAAGGGTGTGGAATAATGAATCATGTCCTCTCCTCCATGCCATTGGTTATTTATTGCAGGAAAGCTGAATGTCAGTAGAGAATTAACAGTCTTATTCCAAGCTGGACTTGGAAGATTACTTCCCTCTGGGCCATATTTCTAGGGGTAATCTTATTCAGTGAAAGGAGCATTTGATCAAGCTCATCTAGATCTGTGTTATTTCATAGTACAAACAATTGTGTCTAAGGGGAACTATGCTTATGTCTCTATCATCATTAATACCGTCATCAGTAATCATATAATAATTAGCCTGTTTGTATCTCTTTCTGAAAGTTAAGACTCCTGAGATAGGTCAGTGCCTCTCAATACAGCTGCCTTTGTATGACTGTATATACCCGATACCTTGCTGTAGAGGAACCGCTGCAGCTCCAGTTCAGCAATTCCTAGCTGTCCATCTTCCTCTGTCAAGCGCCATCGTGCCTGAGCAAAGTAAAACTCAGTGCGACGGACCACACTCACATCTTCTTGTTGCTTTCGCAACTCCATCTTATTGGCCTGTTGCAACTGGAAGTCCTTAAAACACCTATAAATGGACAGGAGGGCCAAAGCCAATAAGGGTAACAGCATTTGGGTTAGGGTGAGGTGGGATGCTCTAGAATGATGCAGAAAGTAAACCCACAGATGGACCTATTTTGGAACAGGTATTCCCTAAGTTTTTTCCACTGGATTCATTGCTCCCACACCTGGAGCCTGGGAGAATAAATCCCATCTTTTAGTTCCATGGCTGCTGCTGTTTTTTTTTGTTTTTTTTTAAGTAAGCTCTATACCCAACGTGCGGCTTGAACTCATGATCCTGAGATCAAGAGTGGCATGCTCTACTGACTGAGCCAGCCAGGCAGCCCCCACAGCTAATAAAGTAGTCTCTGCCCACTAACAAACCCCTACAATTGTATCTGCAATGGTGCTCCTTACTGATCAACTTTAAGACATTTTATTTTCAGTTCACCTGCATGTAGCAAGACCACAAAAGTGATCTTTCCAAACCATCTGGTTTTCTCCTTTCCTAGGAGGTACTCTAATGAAGAGCCAAAGGAAGGGCTCTTCTATTCTCAGTCTTTTGGCCAAGTCCAGCCAGGCTCATTCAGGAAGTACCCAAATCTACATCAGCCTTTGATGA